GGGCCAAAACATCTTGACGCCGCCCACAACTTTCGGCGGGTGTTTTCCGAGCGAAATGATGGCTTGCACGAGTGAAATAGGGGGGCGATGGCCGGAGCCGAGCGCCCCTCCTCCGTCGCTTTTGATTGTATTGGTCGCCTGGCAACAAAAGCCCAGCCGTTTGGGCCGAGGTTCCAAGCTGCAGAGAAGCAGCGTCGCAATGCAGGAAGGTGCCCTTCCAGCAGCTCCGGTTCTCCAGTTCTCCATGATAGGTGCAATCTTTGTGCCATCTTCGTCATCGAAGCCGGCGGCCTGAGGCCAGCGCAAAAGGCCTTGAACTCCTCCTTCTTGAGCTGCTGCAGGGATGTCTGTGGGAACAGCTTCTGTCCAAGCGCGACCTCCCCAGCTTGCAGCCCATGGCGCCCACGAAGGGAAACATGCGGCTCGCGTGTCTAGGGAAGCTCGGCGCAAGGAGCGGATCCCATTTTGTCAGGGGATCTCCGCTAAGTTGACGCCTATGCAAAAATACGTCAGAGACTGAACCCTAAGGTCAAGTAGGCGCAGTCAGGAATAGAGGTGCGAGGTTGCGCCTGACTCCCATTGCGGTGCCATTGCGCAAAGAGGGAACGCCGATGGCAAGAACACTACAAAGTCAAGCGTCGTTCGGTGGAATCTTTAAGAAGAAGAGAAAACAGAAGCCTGACCACCCGGCATAGGGGGCGGACGGCGAGGAGCCTCCTCTAGATTTGTGCCAGTGGAAGAAAAAGGCGCCAAGAAAGGTAGCCAAGAAGAAATTTGACGTGCATGGCTGTGTGCCCGTTTGTCAGGCAGAGAACTGTGCCTGTTTTGATTTGAGCATGGGGTTTGGCTTTGACTTGCTGGGTATCGCCTTACACTGGGGTGTAATTAGATGGATGTTTTACTTGCTTCGTGCTTGCTTGATCTTGCATTGTATTGGCGAATCACTTTGCTGGGCTTTGAAGTGAGTTTCGCTTATTGTTTGTTTGTGTTCGTGCAGTGCTTTGCATCTCAGTAGCAATCATTTTTGTGAATCATACTGAACAAGCTGGCTTTGATCGTAGCGGACGCTGGACACTTGCGTGGCATAGAACCCACGTGTGTCAAATGGGGCCCTGTTTACCAGGCAAAGCTTGTTTGTGCTGTTCGCCTCTGCTCGCCTGGCCGGAGGTGCAACTTTTGAAGGACGGGGACGGGGCGCTGTCGCGAACGACGAAGCGCCTACATGCGACCTTGCATCTAGAAGTAATTTGGGCGACCTCGAGTGCGGCTGAGTAGTTTGTGTTTTTTCATTTTGTTCAATTTTTAAGTTTGGGGAAAGTCCCTTCCCAAGGTTGAGAAGCCTTTTGGGGGCACAATTTCGGGATGTTTGTTTTGTTAGGCTGTTCTGACCCTCTTGGTCCTCTTCGGCCCTTCGGTCTTCGCCCCACTGGCTCCAAAGACAGCAGCAACGCCATTTGTCTGACAAGTTTAAAGCAGGTTTGCCCCACTAGGCTGGCAGACTTGCTGGTTTGGTTGAATTGGCCTAACTTGAATATATTCCACTAATGGGGACTTTGGGGTTTGGAAGCATTCTTGCGGGGACCTTCAAACTTTATTGCGGGCGCCCTCCATCAGAGAGGGCCAAGATGTGGCAGGCTGCCATCTCTGCCTCAGCACGCAGGATCGAAACATGCTCCTGAGCGAGACTGGTTTGAAGAAGTTGGATCTGAAGTCGACGAATGAGGAGCCCGGGAAAGATGCGGGAACTCGGTGTCTCTCCACATCGTTTTCTGTTTCGTTTTTTTTGGCCAGGTATTGTCCACACTCGATTCAACATGGCATGAGAGCTCGAGAATTACGGCAAAGGATAGCGTCAAAGTGCTGGAAGCTCACTCTATCATACCACCATATGTTAAAGTATCTATTTACTGTCCAACCAGGTGTCACGAAACAATGGAACTACAGATTATAAACCGAAGCAAGCTTCGGCTGGAATATTGAGATTGGGGTATCCCACAGTGGCGGTTACACATGATGAGCCCCATGCGGATTTGAGAGCAGCGCCTACGATTGCCGACAGGTTCCTACACTTGGTCAACTGCGACCCTGCCGGTCGCTCGAGGCACCTTCAGGGGTTTGCTTGCCGACATGGGCAGGAGCGCCGCCACATGCTGGACGGGCCAGTCGTGACACACCCTTCCAGCATGAGCGATGTTTGATAGCGTGCTCAGCAGATGTTGGGAAGGGTAGCATCGTTCGCACGACCTGATTTTTGATTTTGATGGAACTCCCGCTTGGTGCCACATTGGGGTTGCCATCGCTGTTTCCTCTCTCACCCTGTGAGACATCACGTCAGACGCCAGAATAGTTGGCCGATGTCCTTGGTCTATGCTCTTTTGGGATACCCATGAATGATGCTTGAACGCCATCGTGGAAACTGAACATGTTTCTATTCGTCCCACTGTCTATTATTGTCAATTGCACTGAAGAAACACCGGTTTCAGAGCATTTTCTGCGTCTTTGGCTAGGTCTTTCTGGTGCTTGGTGCGGCAACTCCCCCAGCTTCATGCCCCCAGGCGCAAAAAGAATCGGGGAAGGGCAGAACGGCACCGACTTCTACAGCAGATTGAGCGCATCTTCGGATTTGTGGCTTCAAGCTTCGGGCTAGTGTCACAGAAAATCTGCGCCGCTTTCGGGGCAAGGTTGGCATTTGCAGGATCCCTAGCCGCATCCCGAAGCTTCCACTATCCTTCAACCCTTCCAGACCTGCCTTGCGGGTTTTCGGCTTTTCCCACGTGCCGCCTCGAAATGGCAGAGCTCCAATTATTGATTTCGGGCGCACACAATGGAATTGCGGCAAAGATTGTTTTGTGAATGTGATAGGCCTTTCACGTGCCAAAGGAGTGCCACAGAGTATGTGCTTGGCTGAACGTGGGAAGGAAAATGAAAGCCTGCATGCAAGGCTGCGGTGACGCTGCTGTGCCCACGATGGCCGCCGCGGGCCAATTCCATGGCAAAACTTGAGCCATGGCAGATCAGAAAAGGAGTGGTCAGGTCTGAACAACAGCATGTTGGATTTTTTGCGGGGAAATGTCTGGGCTAAGGGCTCCCCTCGCCGGAAACATTTGTTGAGTTTTCGGTTTGTTTTTGTTTTTTACTTTTCGCATTGTTTGACTTTCCTTTTTTTGCAGGGGGACTTTTCGGATAGTTTCCCCCCACCACCCCGCTGTGGTTTGATTTGTCATTTCTGACTTTCCGACTTGGCAAGTTTTCAAGTTTTTGAACATTTGCCGTGGGATCTGCTTAGGCAAGCGCGCGGCCGCCTTTGGTTCAAAGAGCCCACTGATAAGCTTCAGCTCCAGAGTGTCAACGGCGAGTTGGGCTTCCCAATGTCGGTGTTGCGAAGCGCGAAATACTGGCCTGCAGCATGTCGGGGATTGCAAGCCGATGCTTGCAAGCAAGGCCTCTGAGTTGGCTTTCCACCTCCCTAGACTTTCCATTCATTGACAGGCACCCGTTTTGTGGGGTGTGAGAGGCTCGTGTTTTGAGCCCCACAAGACGATCCAGAATATAATTCTGACGCCGGCTGGTGCTTGACAGCGGTGACGCGCAATCTAGCCCGCTTGAACTTTTTCACAGGGGTAGTGTTAGAGAGCGAAAGGCTGGCGGAGCATGAAGGGCTCGCTCGCGCGGTTCTGCGCAGTTTCTGGCGGGCTTCCCATGTGTCAGTTTGAAGCAAATCTTGATTGCAAGAGTTTTCTTTTTGCGACCATTGCCATAGCTGACTTCCTTGCCTGCCTCCAACAGGGGCGCGGCTTAGCCTGTCAAATCAACAAAGTGCTGCAGCGCTGCTGACCTGTCTCGCAGCGGAGGACACGCTGCACCCCCCGAGCAGGAGCGAAGTTTGCTTTTGCCGCTGCTGCAAGAGAGGACCTGATTGTGACTCAAGCTGAGGTGCCGGACTACTTGAACGCCTTGGATGCTTTGATGCGAGCAGCGCGGGTCTCGCAAGGCACGCGTGGCATCCCACCTGACTGCGATTTCGACGACACTTCTGAGTCAGAAGATCTCGAGAGATTTCACAACACTTGGGCCAAGTTATGCGGTGACAAAGAGGTATACCAAGCCATTCACTTCCACCGGAGGCAGGACAATGTTGTCTCGCGATCGTTCGTCGCTTCGCGCATCTTGGGTTTCTTCTTCGACGTGCTTGAAACCAAGGTCCCGGACCCAGTCAACGCGCAGGCAGACACGTCCCTTCGCTCTTGCCCGTTCGTTGGACTCACCAACGCAGAAGCTGCTGGCCGCTTTTCAGTTGGGGCATTTCAGCGCTTCCAAGGCCAGTGTGCTTATTACTGGAACAGCCCCATAGGCGGCGTTCGGAACCCCTCCGGAAGGAACTGCTGATTGGAACGTGGCAACTTCAAACTTGCCTTGTGTTGCGGCAGGAGAGTCAGCAGCGGGCAAGGACAACTTGAAGGGACTAGCGCTGTGGCTCGGCCGGCTAGGCGCCGGGGCACGGGGAAGGGCGGGCGAGAGAAGTTCTTTGTGTTGCGCTCGCGCGCCCCAATCTTCTGGTTTGCGAGTGTGGTCTTAGCGCCTTGCTCAAACTAAAGCCCAGCGTGGCCCAACTCACGGGAGGATCAGTTGCGTCGCATTTCTCACGCAGGACCAGTTGCCGTCGCATTTTTACGCAGGAGTTGCTAAAGAACAGCGGTCAGCTCCAGATCACCAACGGCGAGCTGGAGAAGGTGACCGTAGAATTCCTCGATCTTTTTGGAAAGCAGACTGGGCAGCGCAGCGGTCGACATACGTGTGGGAGATGGGGTCTGGCTCAAACGGGAGACTCCGGTCTGTCATTGCAGCAAGGAGAGGCGCTGCTGTCTCCCCACTGCTGTTGACGCAACCAGTGTGCAGATGAGTGCCGAAGCTGGGCCGGAGCGGGGCCAAAGGCGGAGCGGAGGCGGAGCGGAGGCGCGGCCGAGGCGACGCGAGGGCGGGCGAATAGGACTGCCCCCGTTTGCAAGAAACTTCCACCTCTAAAACCAACCCGTCCCCCCCCATTTTTGTTCGAACCATCCCCCCCTCAGCAACATTTCCCCCTCCCCCACTGTTCTTCTCGGTGGGCGGGGTTGTTGTTTGAGAGGCTCGCAGTGAACAATAATCCCTCCCTCCCACCCCGTTTATCGGGACGGTCTCGCTAACATATAACTCTCTCATGCATGTTGCCATACAGGGCTCATGCGCTGCACGGCACATGTGCCTTGTGGCCAGCGGCTGCGCAGCAAGGAATTGCGATGTTTTCGTGGATTATTCTTGCCAGATACAGCCTCAAGGACTGCGCCGGGGACCCCCTCACATGGGCGGTTTCCTTCATTTGGTTTCCAAACAAACTCACAAACGACCCTTGTTAAAACAATGGGCACTGTTTACGCGTGAACCAGAATCCCCTCAGAACTGTCACGGCTCGGTCGATGTGTTGAGACGCCCAACTCAGTGTCACCGTGGCTTCTGGAACCAAATTAGGACGCAGAGGGGCGGATTTTGTTGTGTGTTTCAATGTGCAAGCAGTGCTAGAGCCTTCTCCATCGGCCAGGATGCTGAGACATTTGACCACGCTGCTGGATTCACTTTGCAGGCAGGCTTGGATGTGCGCGAAGCATGGATCTCAAGGAGGTTTGTGGCCCTGCAATGAGCCAATTACTTGGCAGTGCTTGTGGCCCTGTTGCCCTTCACACATGTCCTGCGCCCCTGGCTTTTGTGAAGTGCACAGTTGTGCATTTGCAGGATATTTGCAGGATATGAGGCCGAGGCCCCTTCATGTCTGAGCCCTGTGACGCATGTTCGGGCCAAGAAAGGCAAGGAGGTGCCCCTTGAGTAGATTTCGTCAAATGGTTGTTTTGCCAAGGTCAAATGGTTGTTTTGCCAAGGTCTCCAAAGACGGCTTTGTGTCAACTGCCACTTCATGCTGCCGGCTCCCCTGATGAAACGGAGATATCGCGTTGGGCAGATGCGTACAGCTCCGTGGCGGAGTATTGGGCGGCAATACCATGCGCAGGCTGCGCGCGGTCTTTTCAAAGGCGCCCCTGGTGTTTGGAAGAGCTTGATTGCTTCGAGGCCATGAAAAAGACAAATGGCCTCGCTTTGGGGAGGCTAGAGGAGGCCAACATTTTGCGAAGCTGAAAGGATGGCTGAAAGGATCAGCAGCGGCAGCTGGCGCGGAAATGCTGCCCAAGCCCAAACTTGCGTCGGCCATTGCTGCCATTCGGCACAAAATGCAATTTCTTATCGCCGTGAACTGTTCTGGCGGCATCGATTTCGGGGAGCCTTTCTATCGTGCAGCATTTGTGGGGTTTGTCCTTTGAGTCCTTTGTACACAGGCTACATCATTTGTATGGTCCCGTCCCCCCGGACCCCCTCGCCCCATCCCATCTCCGCGATTCCCCGAACCCCATCAATGACGGGAACATATGGATTTGAACGCATTCGCACAGAAGTCTTCCAAGTGGATTTGGAACCCATCAATCGTACATCGCTTGAACAGAAGATGGTTTTGGGTTGCGTTCTGGAGGAGAATAGCGAAGCGCCCTTTCAGCGCGCTTTTGAGGTGCTTCGTGCTATGCTCCTGGACCGGGGCACTTCTCTCTGGACAGGTCCATGACATCCATGCCCCTTGGCGTTGAATCTGTCACACAGCTGCGACCAATTGGCTTACTTCAACATCACCATGACTCTCATGTCTAAATCTCTGTTTGTCGTCGCTCTGAAACTATGGAACTTGGAAGGGTCGCGGAGATGGCAGCTGCAATGCCCGAGTCCCTGGGTGTGCTGGATGACGGCTCCGGCGTCAGCTACACCTATCGGGACATGAGTTGCGAAAGCCAATTGGAACCACCAAGCTGGCAGCGAAACCCACCAATTTTATCCAGGTGCCCTCTTGTTATATTGAAATCGCTACGCGATCCGCCGACGCCAGTGGACAGTCCCCCATTGACAAACTGCATGGTGCCTCAAGTTTGGGGTCAGGAAAAACACGTCTTTTTGCCTAGGTCATTTTTCATGTCCCAGATGCTGGGGGGGGGGAAATGCAAGGGATGCAGCCACACAACTTACAAGAACAATCCCAATCTTCACACTCAAGATTTTAAGACTTTCACACGCGACATTGACCACACAGAAAATACGAGAGTTGTGGGGAATGCTGGGAATGCAGCCGGCTAGCCACAAAAACGTGCAAAAAACCATGGTTTTTCAATATTTCCCAAAAGCAGCCATCAAAAAACGATACTAGCAACCCCCCTCAAATACCCTAAGAATAGACTTCCAAAAGCACGATGATGCAGGGGATGTTTCGCAGTAACTGCTCCGTACAGGTGGGGAATTGCAAGAAAACTCATTTTTTGCAGATTTCAATCGTTCCTCAAGTGTCACTGCACTTGGCTTCACCCAAACCCCTAACAGGCCAATTCCAACATCGCTTGAAACAGCAAAACGCCACTAGTATCTGCAAGCAAAAGATACAAATCATGGCAACAAGATAATCCTGGATGATGCTGGGGATGCAGATCCTGCGCGTCCGGGGGAAACCCCTAGGCGAAACGCAGATTTCTAGCACGAAAGGCCCAAAAACACTGGCCAAATACAGTGTTTTGGACACGTAGCACAGCATGCCCAAAAAATAGCAGTCCCAAAAGCCTTCGGCTTTGATAAGAGATTCCGAAGGAAGACCAAGTTGCGGACTGCCATCTACACGCTCGACTGGCGTCGGCGGATTTGGAGGTGTCAGACACTCTGAAGTATCTTCTCTTGGGATGAAGGGAAGGTGATGAAGTGTTGACTTGCCCCGAACATTTTGCGGCCATTTTGCCTTAGTTCACTTGCCACGAATTTCTCTTTGCAGTGCTTGCCTTAGTGGGATTGCCCCGAATTTCTTGCTGCAATGTTTGCCTTGGTTGACTGGCCACGAATATTTTGCTGCAATGGTTTTGCCTCAGTTGACTTGCCACCCAAGTTTTGCCTTAGTTGGCTTGCCACAAGCAATCGTTGCCTCGGTTGCCTTGCCCCGAAACTCTTGCTGCAATTGTTTGCCTTAGTTGGCTTGGCACGAATATCTTGCTGCAGTGTTTGCCTCAGTTGACTTGCCACGAATATCTTGCTGCATTTTGTGCCTTGGTTGACTTGCCACGATTATCTCGCTGCAATTGTTGCCTCAGGTGGCTTGCAACGAATATCTGGCTGCATTTTTTGGCCTTAGTTGGCTTGCCACGCATGTCTTGCTGCAATGTTTGCCTTACTTGCCTTGCCCCAACTTTCTTGCTGCAATGTTTGCCTTACTAGACTTGCCTCGAATGTCTTGCTGCGATGTTTGCTAGTTGGCTTGCCCATTGCTGCTTTCTTGTTTTGGTTGACTTGCCACGAGTACCTTGCTGAATTTTGGTGCCTTAGTTGACTTGCCACGAATACATTGCTGCAATTGTCACCTTTCTGGACTTGCCGTGAAAATGGTGCTGCAGCTCGACTTGGTTGACTTGCCACGAGTTTATCTTGCGGCAGTTTTTCTCAGTTGACTTGCCGCAGATATCCTGCTGCAATGTTGCCTTAGCTGGCTTGGCCCGAATATCATGCTGCATCGCTTGCCTTAGTTGACTTGCCCCCAATATCTTGCTGCAGTTGTTGCCTTAGTTGACTTGCTACGGATTGCTTGCTGCAATGCTTGTGACTTGCCCCGAATATCTTCCTGCATGTTTTGCCCTAGTTGACTTGCCACACATATCGTGGTTGATTTTGCACACTAGTATACTTGCCCCGAATATCTTTCTGCAAGGTTTGTCTTATTTAGGCTTGCCTCGAACATTTTGCAGCATTTTGCACTGGCTGGATTGCAACGAGTATCTTGCTGCAATGTTTACCTCAGTTGATTTGCCCCAAACATCTTGGTGCAAGTGTTGCCTTACTTGGCTTGTCACCAATATCTTGCTGCAATGTCTGCAATAGTTGACTTGCAACGGACATCTCGCGGTGACATGTTTGCCCTAGTTGACTTGCCACACATATCTTGCTGCAACGTTTGCCTCCCTTGCCCTGCCACGAATGTCTTGCTGCGATGTTTGCGTTAGTTGACTTGCCACGATATCTTGTTGGAGTTGTGGCAGTACTTGACTTGCCGTATCTTGTTGCAATGTTTTCTTCAGTTGCCTTGACACAAAAATATTGCTGCATTTTGTTCATTTGTTCACTCGCCCCAAACATATTGCTGCAATGGTGTTTTTAGCTGACTTGCCGCGAATATCTTGCTGCAATTTCTGCCTTAGTTCACTTGCCACGAATATATTGCTGCAATATTTGCCCTAGTTGGTTTGTCATAAATATCTGCAATGTTTGCCGTAGTTCACTTGCCACGAATGTCTTGCTGCAATGGTTGCCTTTTGCCTTAGTTGGCTTGCCACGCATATCTTGCTGCAATGGTTGTTCTAGTTGACTTGCAACCAATATGTTGCTGCAATTTGTGCCTGAGTTGAATTGCCCCGAACATCTTGCTGCAGTTTTTGTCTTAGTTGATTTGCCACGAATATCTTTCTGCAATTTGTGTCTTCGTTGACTTGCCGCGAATATCATGCTGCAATGCTTGGCTTAGTTGAGTTGCCGTGAAAACATTGTTGCATTATTTTGTCTCAGGCGGCTTGCAACGAATTTCTTGCTGCAAGTTGTGCATTAGTTGACTTGCAACGAATATCTTGCTTGCTGCAATGTTTGCCTTAGTTGATCTGCCGCGAATATCTGGCTACAGTCTTGTTGCCCTAGGCGGCTTGCAACGATTGTGTTGCTCCAAGTTTTGCATTAGTTGGGTTGCAGCGAATATATTGCTGCAGCGAATATCTTGCTGCAATTTTGGCCTTGGGAGCTTGCGACGAATATTTGCTGTAATTTGTTCGTTAGTTCACTTGCCACCAATATCTTGCTGCAATAGTTGCCTTAGTTGACTTGCCGCGAATATCTTGCTGCAATGCTTGCCTTTGTTGACTTGCCGCGAATATTTTGCTGCATTTTTTTGATTCAGGCGGCTTGCAACGAATTTCTTGCTGCAAGTTTGGCACTAGTTGAATTGCAACGAATATCTTGCTGTAATGGTTTCGTTAGTTGACTTGCAACGAATATCTTGCTGCACTTTTGGCACTATTTGAATTGCACCGAATATCTTGCTGCAATGTTTGCTTTAGTTGACTTGTCACGAATATCTTCCTGCAATGTTGCCTGAGGTGACTTGCTGCGAATATCTTGCGGCAGTTTTTGCCTAGGTTGGCTTGCGCTCTGGTATTCTCATCTGTGTTGCGCCAGCTTACCAAGGCTCTCCTGCGGTTTTTCTTGCTGAGCTGCAGCCAATTTGAAATCATCTGGAAGTTCCAAAGCAACGTCTCTTCCCAGCATCCTCTCTCAAGAAGCGCCCCCCTTTCTTTTGGATGCGCGATGCAGGGTGTAAAGCTCGAGCTAATTCAACCTTCCTTGCCGTGTCGCTTGTTCAAGCCTTCGCCGTCAAGTGTGAGTTTGCCCTGCAGGCTTGCTGTCGCATTGGATGTCGCAAAAGCGCAGTGGAGCCCTTGCCTCTGAAACCCCGCCAAGCGCCTTCTCAAGGTTCACCCGGAAGTCACACGTTGGAGACGATCTGAATCAGCCCGGCCATGCTGGAGCACCAAACCTTGAGAGTGACAAGCATAGCTGCTGACCACGCAGGTCTATCAGATGGCCAAGAAACCCTGCCAGAGTGAGCGAACGCCTGCGGGTCACAGCTGCTCCGTGCAGTTGCGGTGCAGGTGTGCAATGCTTCCACGCAAATCGTATCGGCGTGGCCAAACAAAAGCTCACTTTGCATGGCTTCGCCAAAACACGCGTTTGGACACTGCAATCATGGCAGCCTCCGTGCCACTTCAGCTGTAGTAGGAGACCTCCAGCGGTTAACCTTGTTGAAACGAGTCTTTCTAAGAAAGCGTTTAACCTTGTTGATAATATGTTTTCGCAGTAACTTGGTCATGGCTGCGCTTTAGCTGCTCAGCTTGCGCAAGTCTACTCGCACTGCGCTGTTTGCAAAGCCCTGCAAGCCCTTCTGTTTTTAAAATTGGAGACGGTGGGATAAACTCTTTGCTAGGGAGTTGGGTGGGCCGACGCGCAAACCATGTGTAACGCAGTGCGTGATTTACACACGGTCGAGTAAGGCAGCGGCTTACTACGGCATGCGTTTGGTTATTACCACTAGCAACAACACAGAGATCACCACTGCTGTTCACGCACTGCTGGCGCACTACCAGATCAACAGCTCAGCTCAACCAACCGAAGACTGGGACCGACGCGGAGATCTGGTGAGACCCACACCTTCTATCACCGGAGCCCCCTGCTACACCTTCTAAGTCATCTCACAAAGCCGGACTAGAGTCAAGCTCAACAACAAGGTCTTCTTTCCCCGCTGTTTACCCAAGCCCGTTCGCTTGGTAGTGGCTCCTTAACGGAATCATAGTTGCTCCCACAGTGTTCAAGCGCTTGTTTGAACTGCATCACTTTGACACTCAGAGAACCACATTGCGCCAACAGCTTCTGATGCCATCGCGATGGTTGTTCAAGTACGCAGTCGGGCCCCCCTTGCCCGCTCCAGTTCTCGCTGCGCAGGGAACACCTCGGAAGACAATTCGAGACGTAAGATCTCTGTGAAAAGCAGCGTAACACGGACAAAAACAAAAAGGAGCACACTACGTCACTACGTCCTGAAGTCTGAACTCACGGAATGACTACATCAACCCCAGGACACCCGACTAATTTCATTCGGGAGTGAAACCGCGCGTCGAGGACAACTGAAGTCCATCTTTGGAGTTGGTTTAGAACCCAAACTACAACTTTTGTTCAAGAGTCATGAATGTTGAATTACAGCCAGCAGCGCTGTATATCCCTTTGGTGGACTACAGTTCTTTTTGTAACTACAGTAGCCTGGTAAAGTTGCGTGCCAGCTTTCTTCACTGCTACCAGTCTTTTTGCGCCAGTTGAAGCGTACCACAGAACTTTCAACCGAGGGGCCGTGCCAAACCAAACTGCGTGTTGCGCGACTTGTTGCGTATGCATGACGCACACTACTGCAAGCCTGGAGCTACCAAGCGTAGTGGGCTACAAATGGGGCGCACGCTAGGAAGAACAACTTTGCGTGCGTTGAACGCTACAGCTGTGCCTTCTTGATTCTTGGCCCCTGGCAAATAATGAGTTTACGTGTTGCGCAGAAGCTTGACATCCCTATGGGGGGAGGTCTTGCTACACGCAGGCCGCAGGAGAGTGCTTTCGAAGCTGGTAGCGAGAGGTCTCTGACAAATCGGTGTTTGCCACTCAGTCAGTGAAACGCAGCGCCCCGCGTGTCTGCAGAGAGCCAGTGTGGCCGGAGCCACCCAGTGAGCCAGGAGATTCTGCAGATGTCCGGCTCCTCGAGCATGGCAATGGAACGGCGACGCGGGCAGTTTTTCCTTGGTCGCAAAAACGACCAAATCGCGCTGGCGACATTGGCGAATTGACAGGACCCTCAGGGGTATCTTCGGACTCACTTCAATATGAGCCTCATATGAAAGAACCGACTTCCGGATTCAAGGTTCTGTGGCATTCGCGCTGCACGCAGCGGGAGCTGCTTGCCTGCAACAAACAGCTTGTCAGAAGAAGGCTCTGAAAGCCTTGCAGGCATTGGTGCCATGAATGTATTATATCATTTCCAGGAAGAAAACCACAAAAGGAGAGCGACAGAGAGAAAGAGAGAGAGAGACGGAGAGAGAGACCTAGAAGGGAAAAAAAGAAAGAACGATAAAATTTGAGAATCAGAAACAGAGGGAAACATATGAGACATGTGTCAGCTTAAGGTCTTACCTGACACACTGGTGCCCTTCATGGCATCCCGGGGGGTTGAAATGATCCTCGGCATCCTGGGCATCATCCGTGCTGGAGCTGGCTATGTGCCGTTGGACCTTCACTGGCCGGATGATCGCCTGGAAGATGTGCTGAAGCAATGTAAAAGCAAGGCGCAAGTCGAGCGCTTGACGGCACGTTATGCCTGTAGCAGCAACTCTTTACCACAAATTTACGGCAAATTTACTCCAATTTTGTGGGTCATTAACCCCCCTATTTAACCACCAATTGTGCGGGCAATCTACCCCCAATTTTGTGGGTAGTTTAACACCAATTTTGTGGGCAATGTGCCCCAATTTTGTGGGTAGTGTATCTCCAATTGTGCGGGAATTTACACCTAATGTTGGTGGTAATTTGCCACAACTTTGTGGTAATTTTCGTGGACATTGGGGGTAACCAACGAGTCCAAAAAATTGGGGTAAGTTCCAGGTTTCCCAACGGTGTCCGAAGATTTACCCGGAATTTTCGGACCCAGTACTTACAATTACTCACCAAAATTGGGGGTAAACAAACTACCCTGAGAATTGGTGGTAAGTTATCCACAAAAATTGGAGTAAATTACAAAAACATGGGCAAACTACCGGGTAAATTACTCACCATTTCTCCCAAATTACCCCAAATTTACCAAATTTACCACAAATTCAACCATTTTCCCGCTGAAAGGTTCCCCAGAATTAGGGGTAAATGTTGCCGAGCCGGCAAGCCTGTATAGTCCCCGCCCACCGCATACTTTAAGAAGGCATGCACTTAATTGATAAAGGCAAGCCCTAACAAATACGGGGTAAGATCAGACGGTCAGACAGTCAGTGTCAGAAGTGTCAGACATGTCATGCTAACGAACAAACCGGAGAAGGTCCTGGCATTAGTGTCCCCGAGAGCAAAGCCCAAGTTCCTGACTTTCAAAGCACCCAAGCTAGCGCAGCTGATTCTGAGTTCGCGTCCCCCTTTCATTCCTTCACGAACACGTTGAGTGTCGCGAGCGTTCCTTTTCGCCGCAAAGTGCTGTCCTTTGGAATAGCAGAAAGCAGCCGTTGCAGCAGCCAACTCTTCTTAATTTGCAAGGAAGGAATTACGCAAGTAAGCAACAAGCCTTGCTTCAGCAAAGCGCCGGTCCAGCAGCATCAGCAACCTTGTTTGAGTCTGCCTTCCTTTCTTTCCATTGTGCCCGTGCACGTTTCTTTACGTCTTCCAGACGCTGATTCTTTGGCGTTCTCTCGTTCGCCCGCCTCCCGCTTCACCATCAATCCGCGACTCGCTGGGCACGAGGAGAAGCTATTGGTATTTGGCAAACTTGACTGCTGGCGAGGTTTCATTGCAAAAGCAGCATCGCTTCGTCGCAGCAGTGAAAGCTGTGGAACACTTCGGCAATTGCCGCATTGTCAGCTTAGCTGCCAACGTAACAAGACCTCGTCGGATTTGGTTTGTTTCGCTTGGGAACGTTTTGCGTCATGCGCTTGTGGTCAGCATCCCACTAGTAATCCCAGGCTTTTTGGGCGGGTGATGCTAGGTTCTCACTTGTGGGCTTCATGATTTTTATTCACAATTGAAATGCATGTGAGCCACAGGCCGGCGCCGCTTGGCACTGAAAGGGTGTGATATTCTGCGACGGAGCTGTCACAGAGTACTTTAGCGCTGAAAGGCTGCAAAGCGCGCGAGCTACAGCTGCCAAAGGGCATGTTGCATTTTCTTGTACTACATGTGTAATGACAAATTGCAATGTCGTAGTATTACTTTCTCTGTAGCCCAACCGAGCGTTCTAGATTCTAGCTGTAGTTTACTTGGTAAATACTAAATGGCACCAACCTACATCTTGCAATTGCAAGAACAGACATGTAACATATAGCTTTTGTTTGCGCGAAGATGGCTGTTTCTGAGAACACAACATAGTTGAGCGAACCAGGCATTTGCGGTTTCAAACCAAGTGTAGTTGCTCATGCGTGTATTGTGGCCGGACTAGGCAGCGCGTGCTGCGCAAAGTGGTACGTCGGCTTCGTGGTTTATGTGTAGCCACAACTTCATGCGACCACAGTTCATTGTCCGGTTGGAAAACTTCATCCCTTTGACAGGTTTTGCTGGCATCTTCGGATTGCCGCAGCATTCTTGCTGGGATCGCACAGAATGTGCCCAGCGCGGCTTGGCTCGGTCCAGATCCCGCGTTGGACTGGTCAAAAGTTGTCAAATTGTGAAGCCTGCGATCTCGCTCGTGCGCGCCCATTGGTGCCGTGACTAAGTTTCAGGGCGCTTGATTTTACAGGGGGTTGCTGACACGCGCGGTTTCTATCGGATGAGGATGTGTACTGGTTGACATTGTGTGCGTGTTTTGCAAAGTAGCCACACCCTAGAAGTGTTATGCCCGCCACAGGCTTTTTTCGAAGCGCACCGAACTTGTTCTAAGCACAAGTGCCTGCAAGCGGTGTTTTCGCTGGCTTCTTGTGCCACTGAATCTGCCAATGAGCAGCCAAGGTTTGCTCCGTCATGGACGTTGCATCGCATGTGACAGGGCAGGAACTACCTGACAAAGGAAGCGGAAGTGCTTTGGCCTACACCTTCTTCACATCCGGCACCACCGGAAAGCCCAAAGGCGTTATGGATGCTTGGCCGGGATTTTGTTCGTGCATCCTTCGACAGACAGGCTGAACAGAGCGCAATATGACCTCGTTTTGTTTTGGAATCGCAACAAACACCTGCTGCCGCGCTTTGCCGAGCTCAGGCCGGCTCAGACAAAGAATGAGGTTCTGCTCGCCCTTATTTCCTTATCGTTTTGACACGATATGCATTTTACTTTGACAGGCGCGTGCAACTTTGCAAATGTTTGGCTGTCGGGAGCAGGCACGAGTCTCGCGGTTGTTCCAGATAGTGATAGGCCAAGTTCTGCCTTTTCAAGATGAACGACCGGACCCGTGTTTTTGTGGGCCGGACCAAACACGGGCAACCTAAGGTCGAGAACAAGGGTCTGGCAGCTTGGCCTGCAGAGAGTGAGGGACGCATTATCTCCTTCACTGATTCACCCTGAACGGCGAGGAAGGTTGCTCAAACTTGGACCGCCAGCAGGTCCCCCAATGGCCGTCATGTCTGTGGAGGTGTTACCAGTCGTTTGACGGTTCCCATTGAGTGATTGATTTTGCTGGGTGGCTTGCAATCTAGACAGGGTGCACAGAGGTCCATATCAGTGCAAACCCGTTTGACGGACGCCAGACGCTCTCAATTGTCAATCAAGATCAAGAAGGCCATGGTCAAGTTTTCTTTCGTCGTAACTTGTTGTTGGGGTTGTCTCACCTTAGTACCAGCGAACGCTACCCAAAAGACCCAGGATTTCTGCTACAGTTCTCGTTACCGAGTCATGTCCCTTAGAGGGTGTAGCAAGCATGGATGCTGGAATGCAAGCTGCCCATCTCGGGCTTGTCTCGCAAGGTGCACCGGATCCACTGGTTCCAGAAGCGATGGCCCTTGCACAAGGGAGAGGGTGTGGTGTCCAAGGCGTGAAATAACTTAGCGCACCTACGTGTACGCTGGCCTCAGTTTCTTGGGTTTCTTTGGGCTCAAGTTGGTCAAGGTGCTTTTCATGCAGACCGCGCAAGGCCCAATATGTATTTAAGTGCTTGAGACAGTCCAAGAGTGGGGGAGTTTAGACGTGGAAGTGTCGAGTGGCATCATGCCCGACAACAGCCATACACATCCACCGTTTTCGTGTGTGTGGAGGAACAACACTGGATACGCAGCGTAGGACTAGTGAAAGGCATTCGTAATTTGTGGTTGAGTTTATCTATTCCAAAACACAGACATGCACCAGGATCTTCACCCCAAGTGCAAAGCCCCTTCTAGGAAGGTTTCTGCCGCCACTCCAGTTCTCTCGCCTGCCTTCAGCTAGTGCCCCATCCTAACTTGCACTCAGTCCCACGCGAAGTACACTGACCAAGTCCGCACAAACACACTGCACATCCTCAGTTGCGTTGCGCAAAAGCCATTGCAAACGTCGATCTCTCCGGTGTCTCGCTCCACTGCCATCATGCTGCCATCTTGGCAACGGCGTCAGACAGAGCAGGTTTTAAAGGCTTCTCAATTAGGCAAGGCAAAGTTGTTTCCGTTTGGCGCACACAGCGACGTACCTTCGATAAGCCTTCTCACCTATGTTCGCATCCACGAAATCCGAATTCAGTGGCGCGTTAGAGCCAAAAAATAGAACCCGTTGTATGTGTCAATGTAAGGCATGATCCCAGTTGTTTTGGACGTATCAAATCAGCTGCGCCGCCGCTTGTAATTTGAAGGGCTGGAGTGTGTTGCAGGAGCGGCCGCGCAAGTCAAACATGGGGCTGCGCAAGTAAAGCGCAAGTGAAGCGCAAGTGACGCAGTGATGATTCATCATCATCATCATCATCATCATCATCATCATCATCATCATGGCCATAAGATCAACAAGTTTTCGCGCAAGTCCCGCGCAAGTCGCACGCAGCCCGTAGATGCCCCCAAACCGTTTCTGTACTTTGCAATTTCTTTTTTCTGCAGATCCCAGCAATTTTGCCGAGTGAATTTGTTTGCGGAAGTTTGCAGCGGTGTACGCGCATGAGACCTCATACACCTAAAGGAGAATGCTTTTGGGGACCTCATGCTGATGAAGACATCCGCTTGGATTGGCGAAAACAACTTGGGGTAAGAGTTTTAACTACGGGTATATTTTTCCAGCTCCGTTGGCGGCCTCGCGGTGCCCAAGGGTCAGCAACAATTGCCAGCGACTTTCGGAAAGAAGGAACGAAGGAATTCGGAAGGAACGAAGCAACTTGGAGCGCATGGGACACTCAGTTTGCAGGTGGCGTACACCTTCGGGCTCTCGGAGTGGGAGATCTTTTGGCCTTTGGTCGCTGGAGCCACCTTGATCCTGGCGCCGCCAGGCCTGGCTGCGGCGTATTTTTGGGCCCGAGGCATCTCATGGGCACTTGTCCGGTTTTCAAGAAAGGACTGATCGCCTTCGATTTTCATGGCTCTCAGTTGCCCCCAACAGGCGGCGAGAAGGATGCTGAATACTTGCTGCGGCGGGCGTGCAATGCCTACACAGTGCCAGAGCCACAGGACTGAAAGAGCCGTCTCGAAGCAACATATCCGTTCCGAAGCAACATGGCAGCGTCAGGAGCGCTTGATTCCTGGACAGGGGCCTTCGCCAGACTGCGTGCACTCCGTGGCGGCGCACGTCTTCGCCGAACCCTTAGAGAAAGGCCACTGGGATAGGTGGACAACGTGAAACGCAGCCATGTGGGTCACGCTGTCTCAACAACACCGCCAGAGGTGCCATCAATGCTGCATATGGTGTTTGACAAGTATGATGAGCTCGAGGACGGCGTTTGATGCGATCCAGTTAAACTTGCGAAGCTGCAGATGGGTTGAGGCCAGTCACTCACATGTAGATATTGCGAGAGCGCTTCATTGCGTCCTTCCCCCGTCACCAATCATTGGCGCTGTTGATAGCTTTCACATCAGGTTGACCAGGAATCAATCACAGAGGCAAAGCAGATCATTTCTTCTCTGGAGGAGGAAGACATGGGCCGACGGGCTGGGGAACACCATGAGGATGGCGCCCAGGCTTTGCACGGAGCTTGCTTGCAACTGTATTGCTTTCTTGCATGAACCGCTGTTCACTTTGAGCTGTGACCTGTTGATTTACCCCAAACCCGATCGTCTGGCTAGGGGGTCCGGCTCTTTTTTATTCCCGCTGTTTGTCTTGGTCTCCCCCTATTTTCGTCGCCTTGTGCTCGCATCATACTCATGTTCCATCTTTCGGCTGGGCCACCCTACTGGGCCAATGTCGGGGCCCGAAGCGGGATGTCCGAGGCACTTGGTGGCACCACTCCAAGGCTCGAGAGGTGATCACCTGTGGGGAGGCGCTGAACCCTGGCCTTGCGCAGAGACTTGGCGAGCCGCTTCAAGGTCTTGTTGCAACACGACGTGTGTTCTTTTGAGGGTAAGTGCTGGGTGGCTCGGTGGGTTCAAGGGTGTGTTTCGGGGTAGATCACTTAGTCTTCCCTCCCAACAGGGAAGCCAGGGAAAGGCGACGGGAACCATCGTGCGACGGGCGGCCTCGATGTCAGGTGTTTGGGACCCTGGCGCCTAGGCTTCCTGGTACGCGGAGGTGCCCGGTTTTTTGACGGCCACCCTGGGCTTGGTGGTAAACCGCTTTCTGCATTTCAACAATCTTTTGCAAGAAGCATCCTGAAGCAGTGGAGCACAGCTGGCTTGAGCTGCTGAGTCGAGCAGGCCAAGATATGGCCGGTTGTCATGAAGATCCTCGTCCTGAAGAGTCTCTCCCTCAGCAGAAGTATCTGACATTGCACATTGCACATGAAAGAGTCCACCATTGGAAGACTGGCCTGGGAGTACTGGTCCATCACATGGCTCGAAGATCCTGATCATCCTCGGGACATCTGGGCGTTGTGCCTTGGCCAACCTGGTTGGCCCAATGCCGACGAGCGCCCCCTTCCAGTGGATTCTGATGATCTAAATGGCCGCGCAAAGGCTTGGGGGCTCCTAAAGCGCGCGGTGCAGCGAAGAGCTCCTTGATGCCGCGCTGTGACACAGCAAGTCCAAAGCCACGGCAGTAGAAGCCACTTCCAGGTTGTCCACGTGGATCCCCAACATGGCGGTTCCCTCAACATCACGGGCCGGGCCCTTGTGCAGGAAAAGGCAAGCGCGCCAGCCCAGCCCAAGGAGCCCGCGCGGCACAAGGACCCGATTTGCAATTTCTTTGGACGCCGAAGCGCGCCGCCTCCCTGCAACAGTGAAGGGCGATTAGAGCGCAGCAGGATCCTCGAATCCAGGCAAAGCAGCTCGCCATCGCTTGGCAGCATCCCACGCAGCCTTGTAAATCCAGCCAAAGCGCCGGACAGATGATTTTCTGCCCCAGTGTTGAATGTCAGGAAGAAGGCGCCGGACGTGTCCAACCTGCTCAAGAAAGACAAGCGCTTGGTCCTCAGTGCGGGCGGCGACGCCAGTCCCACTTCCCGCGAGACTTCCCACGTCAAAGAGACCATTGCTGCGTACCGACCGGCTTCCATCTTCGTTAAGTTGTAGGTGATTGACAAGATAGCGCCGTGCCTGACGACTTCTTAATGCGCTTCTCAGACCAGCGTTCAACCGATTGTTGAAAAATGATACAGACATCCTTCAGTGTCATAGCTGAAAGCGTTGACGGCCGTCACACGCTGCCCAAACACGCGCGGGACTTGCCACTCGTGTTGCATCTGGGCATTATGCGGCTATTAGACGCCTCACGCAAGATACCCAGGATGTGCGAGCTCCTTGTCTGGCTTTCTTCTCAATGTAAGACTCGACTCTCGGTTCTTTTCGAGAAGAGCGACGCGATGGCCACCTGCGCTGAAGGTCGCCCAAATTGCTTCTCAAAATCGGCCGAATTTGCCTTTGATACGTAACGCCTCCACTCGTCCCTTCTGGGCAGCGGGTTTTTCCCGCAGTACCCTTGGAGCTGGTGGGCTGATAGTCGGAGGTGAGCTCCTTGGACATCACCTTCTTCATCAACATCTGACGGCGGTCGGATCCTTCTTTTGTAGATGAGTCCTTCAAGAAACAAGGAGATGCAAACTCAGCCAGTAGCCGGAGGATGTCCCTCATGATGAGGCCTGGGCCCAACGATGAGCCTTGACTTTCGAGGATGAGCTTGCTGGGCGGCGCTGCCTGGAACCCAGCCAGTCAACATTTTGCTCTTCGCATCTTGTTACCTTAGATGTGTTGTCGAATGCTCAATGTTGCATGGCGTGGCTTGCAACTTCTCAGCTTGACGTCTGGCTTCTGGCGGCGCAAGTATTCGATTGTCGCTTGGCGCCTGTCGTGCCTCCGGAGGTGGTGACATGAAGGCAAACAGTGCCCTGTCTGGCTTCCATCTGCGACGCGCGGCAAGCCTCGATCGTGCCCGGCGTCTCTCTTCCTCAGTCCAATATCTAATATCCTGAGGGCGCCTGGAGCGGCAGGCCGGAGGGCTGCTCAATGCGCCTTGCTATTTTAAAGGCTCGCGTCACTTTGCTGGCTTTGGCAGTGAGAGGCTTCTTCCTCACTGAGCCCTTGCTGGGACTCGCCTGCCGCCTTGCACTTTCTTTGCGTCTGGTGGGACTGGCTTCTATTTCGGAGCAAGAGCCTCATTGTTGAATTATTCCCATTTCCGCCTTGATGTGCTGCCTCTTTTGGAATGTCGCCTGCGTTGCGGCTTATCTGGCACATTCTTTGCATTTAGTGTGATTTCAATTTGCAGCGCGGCCAGGTGTGCTGCACGCGCTGCAGCGAAGCGCGGTGAGGACGGAGTGGCTGCGCGCAGCCTCTGATATGGTGGCTGCTGCGTCGGAATTCCTGCTGACTGGTTCCTCTTCGCCTTGACGTGAGCAGCAAGCGCAGAAGCACTGGCGCGCGGCACGGAAATGGCTTCGCGGATGTGGTTTATTGTGGAGACACAGGAGGTGTCGTGTTTGAGTTGCTCTCCGGCACCCGAGCTTGTCTGCTGTCGCAAGAGTTCAACAAGGGAAAGGACATGGCCAGTGGAAGCATATGCTGGGCCTGTCCTGTTCAAACCTTGGGTGGAGAGCCCCATGATGCTCCCAAGATGGTGGCGCTTTGCTGACAATCAAGCGCCTCCATTACGGCGGCGGCTAAAAAAATCCGTTGGACCAAAAACCGGCGCGAAAAATAGCACGATGACGTGCTAAGTTGGCGGCGCAGCGGTCAAAACGCTTGCTTTTTCCATGGTGCAAGCTGCGGTTTCCTCCAAGAATATGCGATTCTCCAGTGGGATTTGCCAAAACGTGTGCTTTCGTGAGGCGAAACAACGGAAATCAAGAAAAAGAATTGCAACATTTCCGTGACAAAATTATCTTGGTTTTAGAAGAGATATGCAAATTGCCTCGGCAACACAGCAAATCAGACTGCATCGGATCGCAACGAATGCTGCGGCTACACTTCTGTGTTCTTGGACATGCGCCGCGCGGCCTTGCGTGGAAAACAACAAGTCTTGCGTCCGATTAATGAACCTCCACTACCACGCTAGGACAGCTGTTTCCGCTTGAGGGAGCGCCAACAAGAATCAATTGTCCCGGTGTGGGCCGAAATATTTTTACGGCCCTGCCGAGCTGGCTTGGGCAACTGACCCTTGATAGGCCGGAGCGCCGTCTGTCAGCAAAACCGATTTTTTGCGGTTGTTGATCTTCAAGACATGATTCTCCACCAGCAGCTCCACGTGCCCGGCACAAGAGAAGCAGCGCCCTACCCACTTTCATGGCTGCCCTTGTCTCTCTTCTCCGCTTGGCGCGCGTTGCGGCTCTCTTGGCTCGCAAGATTTTCGTAGCTGGAGACGGAGAAGCTGCGCAGAAACATCGGCTCGGAACCTGGCCAGCTCTTGCCGGGCCCGGTCCACCACTTGCCCGACCAACAGCTGGGCCGCCCTAGCGCTCCTTCCCAGAAGCGCGGGCGGGCATCTGACCCAAGCTTTGCCCTCGTTCAGCCCTGAGCGGGTGACGCGGGACCATTGCCTTTCCGCAAGGACCACAGCGACCGTATTTGCACTGACGGAGCGGGCGCCTGGGAATTTGCATCAGCCACTGTCTGCAGGCGCTCAACTGCCACGTTTGCTGCATCTTTCTCTAGAGCTCTCTCAACCCAATGATGCCGCCTGCGAAGAACCAGTGCCGCGCAGCCCTTGACAGCCAGGCTTCTCTTCGTCTGACGACAACACGACGCAAGTGTCCGCTGAAGCCGAAGCACCGCCTCACAGGGTCCCAGAAACAAATGAAATGAGTCCAAACCAAAAAGAACGAACCGGATATCTGTGAAAAATGCGGCCACTGCTTGCGGAGCGGCCTGCGATCTGCCCGGCCAGGCGCCCATGGCTGTGTTCAAGTAATTCCCCCGTTTGAACACGCAAGCCCCCTGCAAGACATGGCCTGCACAGACGAAGTGGCACAGATGAAGCGGTCATGCCGGTTTCTGGGGCGTATGCTAAAACACGCAGCAGCGTGAAACACGCCATCACTTTGCCAGGACACGCGAAAGCTTCAAAACATGTTTCTACAAAACGCATGACGCCATGCCCAGACATTTCCTCAAGGCCAAATTTCCCCCAAGGTGGCTTCTGCCAAAGTGCCTCCTGGAGAACCAGCAGAGACGGGTAGTTGTTTGCGGTTTGCTCTCTCTTCCTTGCCTTTGTCGTCCTGCAATCTGCGAATGTTTGCGTGTCCCCACGCAGTGGTTGCAGGTAGGGCCAGGTAGGGATCTGACGGTCGAAGTCGACCAGTCTTGATTTTCTTGTTTGCGCGTCTTTTGCTTTTCTTGCTCCGTGTGGAAGACGGAGCGAAGAGAGGTCTCAACAGCAAAGGTGGGGCCGTATTGGAGGTGCGGCGACGGGCGGACGTGTCTTGGTCTTCGCAGCGGAGCCGACGCTTGCAGGGAGGCCCCTGCCGGGCTTGAGCAGTCGGCCCTGAGACTTCGCAACTTTCCCGCAGTTGCAACAAGCGGGGCGTGTTGTGGAAGTTGGGCAGGGGCGTGTGGAGCTGGAGAAATGGTGCAACGAGCGGGTTCAGCGATTGTCGCCCTTCCTTGACCAGTCTGAAGCCTTTCAGGCTTTAGGGGGCTTGGTACCAGGCTTGCGGCTCTGGGCAGAGCTTGGGCAAGACCACTGCGTTGGGAACCAAGTCTTCCTTGACGGTGTTCTTTCGGGGCCTTGCTGCAGCACCGTTGGCCTCAATGAGGTTTACGGCCCGGATCATGGGCTGGCATAGTTTGCAGAGCAACTTGGCGTGATTCATGCGTGGGCCAAAGGTTCTGACACCAGGGTGGCGCGGAGAGAGGCAGCGCCGCTCCCGCTTGTGGTCTTTCGCGGTGAGAACCTTTGGATGGCCAATCTCGCGCCCC